GCAGAGCATGGGGCCAAGCTCAGCCCGCATGTCAGTGGGCACCATTCCTGTTGACTTCAGCCTCCACTTAACTCTCCTGGCCGTGGCTGGGAATTCCTTTTCAGTGCCCTGTGCAATGCCACCAGGGCACTCCCCTGGGCTTTGGGTCGGGCTAACGGAAGCTGCTGGCTTGTGGTTGGTATGTGCTTTCCTCTGCTGCCCTGGGTACGATCCCTCTGCCAGGCCCCACACTTCGTGCATGCCAGTGAAAAAGGGACTTCTCCCGATAGTTCCGGCTTGGTTTTAACTGAGGAAGCCCAGGGGTCTGCCAAGAGGTGAGACCATTACAGTGTTTTAGATCCTGCTGTGGGGTGACTGTTGGTAAATGCTGGCTTTCTAATGCTGACAGCTACTAGTGAACTGGGATTGGTGCCTGCCTGAGTGCGATCAACATTCCCCCAAAGTCTGGGGGCTCTATGGCTATTTATTTGGATTGTGGTAGTGCTAGGAGGGCCCAGTCCAGATCAGGGCTGTGTTGTGTCAGGCACTATACAAACACAGAGGAAGACTTAGGTGTAAGACCTGTAATTCTTACACCCCACAAAGGCAGTCAACACATAGAGATGGGAGAGAGGGATTCAGTCAGATTGGGAACCCAAGATTTTGGCTAAGATCCATTTCTGAAATCCGTTTACTATCTCGTTTGCGGGGCCTTGGAAGAAGAGATCTTATGTGATTGCTCTTTCCAAGCCCAAGAGAAATTGGCCTCCGAGGGTATTGTGTTCAAGGCAAAAACACAGAAGTTAAATAAGAACATCAAATACTCTTGCTGGAGGGTTGCAGCATAGCACTACTTTTATTCTTAGAATCCAAAGTGATAACATATAGAAACCAAAACCAGAGCGAGATGAAGCAGGCTGCTCCCCAAGGCAGAAAGGCCTTTTCAGACTTAGTCTGATCGCATGCTTCCCCACAGAGCCCCCTACCTGCAAGCAGAACCAGGAACCCCACCCCACATACCACTTTTGTGTCTTGTCTACACTTGCAGTGGTATGTAGGATACAGGCACTACATGCATAGCTGTATGCTGCCGTGAAAGCAGGGTGCATCCTCACTTGTCACTGCAGTGTGTAGCCACATGTGGAGCAGGGGGAGGCAGTAAGAAAAAGCTGCTAAAAATAGCAGCATAGACATGGGAGGCACGGCTTGGGCATGTAGAACCAGGTAGGGTACCTGCTGTGGGGGTTCAGGCATGTAGGGAGCTCTACTCTTCTCACCTAAGCTGTGCCTCGCTGTCTACGCTGCTATTTATACCCGTGCTAGCTGGGCATGCAGCTGTCCTCTACATGCTGCCGTAAGTGTAGACGTGGCTGTGGCTGTACTTGGAGCTGGGGGTGTGATTCCCAGCTCAAGCTTGGGCTAGCTCCCATTGAGCTGATGCACTAATAGTAGTGTAGCCACGGTAGCATTTGCTCCGCCCCGGTGGGAACTTCCTCAGGTTGGCTAGCCTGTGCTCCTGCTCACTGCTGCCCATGCCACCACAGCTACAATACTAGTGTTAGCAGGAGCCTTTTGACAATACAGTTTTGTGTTGAAGAATGGACGAGTCATCAAAACCCAGCGTTGTCATGGGGAACGGTGGGTTGTGATACATTTTTAAAGTTTTTTTTAGCAAAAAGTTTTGAAACTGTAGATGTTTCATCTTGAGATTTTTTTCAAAATGAAAAATTCCAGTTTTCCTATTCAAAATGTCTTTTGGCTTTGTAATCGACACTAAAAAGGTCAAAACCAAAATGAAATTTTTTACATTGTTGAAACAAAATGGTTTTATTGACCTGAACTGAAATTGTGTTCAGATTTTTCAAGTCACACAAATATTCAAGGTTTTGACTTTTCATCCTGATTCAGAACGCAAAAATATTTCTTACTTTTGAACATTTTTGCAGGACAGGAGAACCATTCCCCATCTGGTTCTCCTGAAGCTGTACCTACCCCCGGGCAGTTAAAGCTCAGGGGGATGACCGTGTTGTTTTTGGATTGAATTGAATGTGGGGAATCGGAAGCATTTTGGAATCATGTGTGTTGCTCGCTGACCTTTCTCTATGGACTGCTCTTCGCATGCTGCACCATTGACAAGAACAGACCTCTCAGCTGATGTGCAGCCGCGAGAAGACAGGGGCATTAGAAAACAAATGGCAAGAACATGGCCAATCTGTTCTGAAATGTTTTCATTTTCTTTTGTATTCAGATAATGAATATTCCCTTCGTGCATCAGGAATTGTTTGTTTCCCTCTTTTTCCTTCCCAATCACATTCCTCTCCCTGCCTAACCCTTCCCTGCCCTTTACCTTGTTGGCACGGGGTTGTGTGACCAGTCTGGCAGAGAGAACAGAAAGACCAGAGTGGTTCGAACAGTGATGAAATTACTTGAACACAAGATCTCAAAAGAAAAACCCCACCACCTGTCTACTCCTGAGGGAATTCTGTGCCAAAAAATCAGAGTCCTGTGGCACCTTATAGACCAGGGGTCAGCAACGTTTGGCACGCAGCTCACCAGGGTAAGCACCCTAGCTGGCCGGGCCAGTTTATTTACCTGCTGACGTAGCAGGTTTGGCCAATCGCGGTCCCCACTGGCCGCGGTTTGCCGTCCTGGGCCAATGGGGGCGGCGGGAAGCCGCGGCCAGCACATTCCTCGCCTGCACCGATTCCCGCCACCCCCAGTGGTGGCCGCGATCGGCCGAACCTGCCGCATCAGCAGGTAAATAAACTGTCCCGGCCCGCTAGGGTGCTTAACCTGGCGAGCCGTGTGCTGAACGTTGCCGACCCCTGTTATAGATTAACAGATGTATTGGAGCATAAACTTTTGTGGGTGAATACATCTGTTAGTCTATAAGGTGCCACAGGACTCTTAGTCCGGATCTGTAAAAAGCAACAAACACAGATACCCCTCTGATACCAAAATATTAAATATTCTGTGCACAAGTTTTTAAAATTTTGCAAAATTCTGCCTATTTGTCAAAACAACTTTATAATCACACCATTTTCAATTATTTGACAAGTAATTTGAAATAAATTACCAAAATAATTGAAAATGGTGTGATTATATTGTGTTTCTGTGTTGTTTTGACAATTAAAATATGCAGAACTTTTCAGAATTCTACATTTTTAAACTTTTCCGTGCAAAATTCCCTCAAGAGTACCAGGGTTCTGTGTGGCGCAGTCTGGATGTGGGCAGCTTGGTGGGGGGTCTGGGTGCAGGGGGGAGTCTGGGGCACAGGGGCTTGGTGCAGGGTTCTGGGTGCAGGGGGAATGGGACTCTGCAAAGGGGGGGGCACAGTGAAGGTGGTTAGGGCTCCGTGGGGGGAGGGAGTGGGGCTTGGTGGGGTGGGGGTCAGGGTGCAGCTGGTTGGGGCTCAGTGGGGTGGGGGTCCGGGTATGGAGGGGCTTCTGATGCGGGGGGTGAGGCTCGGGCATGGTGGGGGTTTGGGAGCTCAGTGGGGGGGGGGGGGTTCCGTGGGCGGAGGGGTCACTGTACAAGGAGCTGCTTCTCCTCTCCACCTAGCCCCTACGCATCTGGACCCCCCTGCACCAAACCCTCCTGCTGAGCCTCCCCCCCACTCCCAGAACCCTGTGTCCCCCCCCCGCAGTGCAGAGCTTCGTGCAGCCAGGGGAAGTTTCTGGGGCTTGATCTGACCCAGCCCCATCTGCTCTGTGCAGGGAAGTGGGAGGGGGGACTCTGTCCTCGTCTCTCTCCCCCCCCCCCCACCTTCCCCAGCTGTGACTAATGTCCCTGGGTTGCCTGGCCATCCCCAGACCCTCCTCCAGCCGGTGATTTACCTCTCCCCCTGGCTGCCTGAACAGATGCATGTGAGCTGCGGAGCTGCCTGGAGGGGTGAGTGAGCACTGGTACAGCTTCTCCTTGCTTCCCCACAGAAACCATTTTCTGCAAGGAAGTAAAGGGATTGGGTGGGGGGTGGTTTCTGCTGCGCTGCAGTAGCGCAGAATTTCCCCAGGAATAACCTGTCCAATGACTTATTCACAACAAAGAATTGGCTTGAAACAGTGTCAGATAGCATAGCTGAGCTTGCTGGTCTCACCCACCCAGACAACACCTGGCATCTCTTAATGCGAGAGCACAGAACTAAGCGCCAGGAACTCCCGGGTTCACTTGTTCCCTCTGGGGCCTGGAATGTTTAACCTCTGAATCCATTTGTAAAATGAGGGTTTTTCTCTCCGCTGTGTGTGTGTGAAGTTATGAATGATGTAAAATGCTTTCTTTGCATGCATGTAATTACACTCCCAAGCCTCTTTATTTTTCTGTATTAAATATATTTTAAACAAAAATCAAACCCGTCCCCATCCCTTGATCCAATGTATGTGCCCTGTCTCCCACCAGACCCAAACAGCTTTGCTAGTCTAGAAAGGGGAGGCGAATGTGGGGAGGGGCAAGGAATGGAAAGTGAATCTAGAAATGGTGCAGGATCTTGCACTTCAACTTTGGGTTACAGTTGGGATGAGACTGTCTGCTAACTAGGAGAGCAGAACCTGCCATGGGGTCAGAGATGATGGAGTTGGACCATGGGGGTGGCATTGTGATTGGCTGTTCTGCTCAAGTTGTTATGCCAAGGGCCTACTGCAACTTGAGCTGTGCTCTGCACGGTGTGGCATGGAGCAGAAGTAGCAATCACCAGCACCTGAGCCTCTCTGGGCTGGGCCAGGCCTGCATATTGTTGTTGTTTGGTCTTATGGGAGCTCTTTCCTCTCTGAGCCTCCTCTGCTCCTCTCTGCACCAAACCCACCACCAGGGTCATCTAGTTTGCTGTACCATCAGGATGTACAATTGCTCAAATGTTTGCTTGTGAAGCTGGAAACAGACTCACTGCAGTGGGGACAGGCTCAATGGGACGCGTTAGCCACCCACCGCCCTTGTCCTGAACTCTCTTTAAAAGTAAACCAGGAACTGGCTGGAAAGCAGGAAGATGGGATGTGTTTGTCTTGACACAGCTTCTGCTTTGCTCACAGATTGGTGCAGCAATGTTAGGGCAGGATGCCAGGTGCCTTCTTGCGGTGGCTGCAGCTTCAGGAATAGCTACCCTCATCCTCATCCTTGTTCAAGTGAAGGACGTTTATCTGCCTGCAAGAACCAAGGTAGGTGCAGTTGCTAGAGTACATTGCTTGCAATGACTGATACAAAAACCTCTGCTAGCTGTGTGGGTTTGATAGCCTGTTAGAAATAGTGTCACCCTTTTCCATGTCCCCAGACCTGCTGTGTGTCATCCTGTCTGTTAGTGGTTCTGCTGTGTAACTAAACTAGTTTCTCTTGACTTTTATTTCCACTTTCTCTTTTCAGATCTCATGAGCATCTTGTATGTTTCCTCTCCTCTGTCCTTCTTCCCAGGGTTTCATGTTCCTTCCCTGTTGTCTCTTTCATTCTTACTTTTCTAAGACTGTTGCAAAACTACCACTTCCTGATTTCCCAGCCTCCGATAGCTGATAGCCGGTGAACAGCCCCACAGGTTTGAGCCATTCCACATGTGTCTCCAACTCCTGAGAGCTCTGTGAATGTCACTGCAGGGGCGTGAGACTTGTTGTTTCACACCTCACTTCCCTTTCCATCTCGGAACTTTATCTAACTGCAAAACCCAAGGAATAGAAACAAAGGCCTGGTTAAAGCCGGGCTGGAAGGTCAAGCCTGAAAGTGCAATTCTTTGGATGCAAGAGCTGAGAGCACATACAGCAGCCCTTGTGCAGCAGTGAGCTCTGTGACCTCATCTTCCCTCCCGGCTCCCCCTTCAGTATGGGATGGTGTTTGATGCCGGCTCCTCGCACACGGCTCTCTACATCTACAAGTGGCCAGCGGATAAAGAGAACGGCACCGGCATCGTCAGCCAGGCTGAGGCCTGCACCGTGCAAGGTCAGTCAGATGTTTCTCTCTCTCTCTCTCCCTTATGCCCTCCACTTGGTTGTGTCCATGTGCCAAGAAATGTGTGTGAAATGCTTCTGTCAGGGGCAAAGGTTGCTGTGCTATTTACTGCCCTGCACTTGGATTACCCCTCAGGCCTAACACCACCTCCTTCTGCCTGGATCTCTATTTTCCAGGGATAGCAACTGGGCCCCATTCATCCCTGGTGGGACTCTACAGAAGTCAGTGGAGTTGGACTAGGTGTGAGTTTGGCCATTGACATTATAGGTGCAGCACAAGCACATATATTACAGGTGGACTTTGCTCCTTTAGCTACCTGCAATATAATGCAGTGGACCCCAGGGAGCAAAGGTGGAAGCTGAACTGTCCACCACATCCCTGTGCCATGGAAAGACCTACAAAGCCAAAATGGGAGAAGTGAGTGTGACCCTCCCCCATCCCTAGACTGCTATCCGGAAAGCAGGGGTGACACCCAGCTGTACTGTAAAAGGCAGTGAGCCTGGGGGAATGAGATGTCCCCAACGCAGCCCCAGGCCCAGACACCCCGACCTTTGTCTGCATTCAAGCTCTATGTCGTGGTGACGGCAGACCCAGGATGCATGGGTGTCCTATGGCCCAGCTGCCAGGCAGGAGCAGCCTCTCCCACAGTGCTCTGCTGCAGGAGTGTAATTTGCTAAGGGGCAAGGAGGGCAGTTCCCCCCCAGACCTTGGTTGGCGCTCCACAGACTTTTCCTACATCTATACACTCCTCTTCCCTGCATGCTGATGCCAGCAAACAACTGACCCTCACTCTGGGCTCTCCAGCCCCAGGTGCCAGCAGCATTGCCAGTCCCTGTCTCAGGGCCCTGGCTGAGCTCAGGCTCTCACTGGGATGCTTCGTTCCAGGACCTGGGATCTCCAGTTACGCTGACAACCCCACTAGGGCCGGAGCCAGCCTGAGGGCCTGTCTGGACAAGGCCATGACGATCATCCCTGTGGAGCAACAGAGAGAAACGCCCACCTACCTCGGTGCTACTGCGGGCATGCGGCTGCTGAGGTACCTGGAGTGACTGTGAGGAGGGCAGCTCTGCACAGGGAATGGCCGGTTCCCCCATTTCAGTCACCTGCTGTTCACTGCAGGAGTCTTTGGGGACAGACCTCAAATCTATACTCTGCACAGGTGGTAACATTTTCCCTGTGCCTCTGTCCCACTCATGCAGCTTGTCCACCTACTGCCTTCCCTCCACTCCAGAGTGGGCTGCATGTCCGTGGTGAGCGTGTGCATTGCTAAACTACTGGGGGGCTCTTGCAGGTCTAGGCAAGGCTCTTGCCATTGGGGTGCCATGGCAATGTGAGGAACTGCAAGTGCCAGAAACTTGTAATTAAGCATTAACTACATTCCTCTTCTGTTACTGGCTGACTTGATGGAGTATCAGGAGCAGAGGGCCTTTTTCTCACCCGCTTCGGCACCTCCAGGGAAGATGCTCATGTTCAGGTTTATTACCCCTCTGGAAGGGTTTGGATTAGGCAGTCACTGTGCATGCCGCACCGTATCCGTCAGGGGCCCAGTGGAATCTCTCCCCTCCCCATTCGCAGGGAGCAGAACAGCACAAAAGCCGACCTGGTCTTTGCAGAGGTCTCCAAGACCATCCGGCAGTACCCTGTAGATTTCCGTGGCGCTCGGATCCTCACTGGGAATGAGGAAGGATCCTTTGGCTGGATCACAATCAACTACCTGCTGGAGACACTCATCAAGGTCAGTGCCTGGGCAGGGGGGAAGGAAAGGGAGTGACCTTGGCTGGCTGGGCTGCTCCTTTTCTATAGAAAACGGGTCAGACGAAGAGCCAACATGGCAGGTCGTCTCAGCCTAGCTCATTTCCCAGACCTGCTCCCTTCTCTGGCTTGTCCCTTCTTGGCTCCAGCTGGGAATTCCCACACTGCATGAGAATCCAGGGCTCTGGAAGCTGGATGTTGAGTCCCTGACATAGGACCAAACCCCTCACAAGAGGAGCTGGTGTTTCTTTACATAGGAGGGTGCTGGTGTCTCTCCCTGCTTCAGCTGCAGGCAGCAGCACTTCCATGGCAGGAGGGATTCAGGGAGACCCTGTCCCATGCCAGGCCTCAGCTTTTGGATGAGACATGTCTAGTTAAGTGGCGGAAAAGACACCCCCTGAGTGGCAGCTGGTCTCCTAGGCCCCACATCCCAGTGCAAGAGTCATGGACACTGATTAACAGACATGCTTCCTTGCTCAGCCTGTGACGCTGCTTTCCTATGGAGATGGGCACTCTATCCCCTGGCCCTCCAGTGACGCTGTTCTTAACTCTAAGCACCAGCAGTGAGCTGATTCCATGTGGTGGGGGCAGTTCTCTTTCACAGGGACGTGGATACACCCTGAGGCAGCTGCAGTTGTGGGAGCACTGGACCTTGGAGGAGCCTCGACCCAGATAACCTTTCACCCTGGTCGGGCCATTGAGGACAACAACACTGAAGTCCTCTTCTGGCTGTATGGGACCAACTACTCGCTTTATACCCACAGCTACCTTTGCTACGGAGAAAACCAAGCCTTGAAGAAGCTGATTGCATCCCTCAGAGAGGTATTCTCCTGAATCTGCCTATTCCCTCTTCACCAGACCTGGGGCTCACTGAGTCTGGTAGCACAAGTGTAGTGGGATGCGCACATGGCCCTATGGAGCTATTGCACCTTTGGCTGTACAGTGCAGCAAAAGGCAAAGCTAGTAATAACTTGGCACTTCATATAATGAGATCCATACCCATCAACTACTTACCCCATTGCTCCCCATGCGGGAGGTGTTAACCCTGTGCTGCAGAAGGGAAACCGGCAGAGAGGACAACACCTTAAAATATTACCTCTGATGTGGGGTACCCACTGGAGGTGCCTCTGGCCTGGTTTTCAGAGCCAAGTGGCACCTGGAGCTCCCACTGACTAGAACTGGGGATGCTAAGCACCTCTGAAAAGCTGGCCTGAGGTGTCTCACGTTGGGCACCAAACATAGTGGCTGTGTGTGCGAGTAGCTGCTGTAAGAGGCATGTCCTATGCTCCAGGAGGAGTCTGTGGCCCAGGTGGGATCAGAACTTGAGTTCTAGTGGCACTTAACTCCCAGGGCTGTAGGCAGGGATGTGTGTGAAGCATAGAGCTTTACCCAGCTCCATGAATACCAGCAGCATAGCAGGCTCTGCATGGCCCTGTGCTGTTTAACTTCCACGGCAGATCTATGGGCCTTCCCGTGAAGGGAGCTCTGATCTGACTGCACAGGGGCGAATCGCAGGGAGACTAGATGCCCTTTCAGTCTATCAGCAGGTTTCTGTAACAGGGCACTGGTGCTGGGGCACGTGCATGCAACCCAGGGCCCTCTGTCGAGGCTTTGGCTCTGCACCTGAGACAGCTGACCACAGCTCACATGACAGCTTGGAGGCAGCGTTTCCTAGAAAAGGGAGCCTGCTCAGTTGGGACAGACAGCAGTGTCAAGAAGGGACCAAGCAGGGGCTCTTGGCACTAGGCAGGCAAAAGGTTTGGCAAGAGATTCCTGCAGGGACAGGGTTAGCAGCCTAAACAGGGAGAGGCTGCCGATGGGAAGGTGCGGCAGAGTCGGTGTGAGACACAGCCCACTGAGGTGACACTGAAATTCTGCTGCTGGTGGGGGAGGCAGCCCACAAGCTGTCCCCTGGCTTGCTGGCTCCAGTTACTGTTAAAAGTTGGGTGAAAGAATGAGAAATGCTGGGCAAAATGTCAGAGTGTGCAGAGTGTTTTTTGTAAAGATGAATCCGTGCTTGCCCTTGGCTTTTGGCTCTTCACCACCCATGCTCTCCCTTTTAAAACAAGCTGATCTAGCATGAGGTGACCTGACAGGAAAGAGAAACTGCAAACCACAGGAGGATCCATGGCAAAACTAGCACCCTCCCTGCCTTAGGATCTCCATTGAGGAGGCTCTGGATGGTCCTGAATCTCTGTGGTTGCCCATAGAGTATAATGTGAATCTTGTCTTGGTCTTTCATTACATGGGAATGAATGTGTCTCCCAAAGGAGCGAGGCCAGTAGGGTGCAGGACTGTGAGCCAGTGGGGGCGTAAGGGGAGGAATGCAGAGCACTGGTGCTGAGGGGTTGGTCCTAGTCCAGCCCTCATTCTGCTGAGTGTACACAGGGACTGTCCGCCTGCAGGAGCAGAGCGGGGGCGCTGGTCAGACTTTGTTTGTTTGTTTGTTCCCCATCCGACAGTTTAATTCCTGCAGCCGGGTAAGGAGATCACCGCTCTGAATGGGCCCAGAGTGGGAAGGGAACGTTTCCCTCTGAGAGATTAGCAGGATTCCAGAGAAAATCCAGCGTGCATAGGGCTGGGTAGCATCTCGGGGCTGCCCTTTGCTTTCTCCACTGTGGGATGTTCCAGACTACAAGGCTGGCTTGTGTGTGAAGTGGTGGGGACGGGGGTTTGGCTGCTATCCCAAGCCTGAGCACTGCTAATGGGTTCCCCTCTCTCTAGGAGAACCTCACCTCTCAGCAGATCTCCCACCCATGCTACCCTAGGGGATATGAGGAGAACGTCACTGCCGCTGCCCTGTATGACAGTCCCTGCGTCCCGGCACCAGCTGCACACGACCCCAGCCAGATCCTCACGGTGCGGGGGACAGGAGCCCCAGCGGAGTGCAAGAATGCCGTCCAGAAACTCTTCAACTTCACAGCCTGTGGGGCCAACAGGACGTGCGGGTTCAACGGGGTCTACCAGCCGCCGGATCATGGGCAGTTCTTCGTAAGGGAGCCTTCCCTTCTCTTCTAGCTGGCTACCACACTGTAGGGAGCTGGGTTCTGAGGGCTCTCATGCTGGCTGAGGGTCCCTGTACCTTTGGGGGGGGGGTGCTGTGGGGGGAAATTCCCATTGGTACTAATGCGAGCAAATGTCTGAAAGCCAGGACCAGCCCAGTGCACAGAACAAGCTGTTGCTATGTCTCTCGTGACCTTTCCTTCCAGCATATGGCATCTTGGTGATCGCTGGCTGGGGGCACATGGGGCAGGGTGTGGGGCAAGTTACAATTTTTAACTGTCTGTAAACATGGGAAAGTGAAGTGGCTGTGTTGTCTACCTGGGCAAGTTGCAAAGGTTCAACTTAAGGTGAGACTCTAAATCGACGTGAGTAAAGCAGTGACCAACCTGTGTGGGTTCGTAGAGCACATCGACATGGCAATGCCAGGGTGACTGCAGCACAGGTGGCCATAGCTGTGCTAGTTTTACCAGCATTAGAGCGACTACACATAGCAGTGTCATGTGGCCACACAGGCTTCACGAGTGCCCCAGGGACCTGGGGTTTGTCCTGCTAGCCTGCGCTTGACCCCCACTGCTGCGTCTACACTGCTAGTTTTAGCCATGCTAGTGTGGGTGAAGCTAGTGCAGGTAAGTCTGCCTGAGATTACACTCCTCAGATTGCAGGGTTAGACATCCCTTGGTTCAACCCAGGCTATTTTTTGGTTTAGCCTACGTTGATTAGGAATTGGTGAAAGCGAAACCAAAATAAGTCTCTCAAACTGCAATCCGAGCATCTGCTGACCTAGCTCTGTTTAAATTCTCGCTATACATTAAATCCACACAATGTCGCCATCTAGACAAGGCCTTAGGAAAGGAAGCGGCTCTGGAGCACTGGCACCACCCAGACATGCTGTGGGTATGTGAATAGGCAGGTCATATGGACCTTCCTGTCCTCACACCTCAGTTCTGAGCTACAGCACTCAGCTCCTAATCCAGTGCCCCTCTTGTCTGGAGACAGACTTCCAGACGCCGGTGGTGCTCGTGTGGCTTCCATCAAAGGGACGTGGGACGATACCTCTCTGTCCCCGCAGCATGAACACTGTGGTTCAGCAGGGAAAGATGGGCGTCACTAACCCATACCATGCCAATCCCAAATCTCCCCAACATGCATATCGTACCTAGGGAGAAGTGTCTGTGCCCAGGATCTGGGGAGCTTGGTGCCTCAGTCCGTGCTGTCTCTTGGGGACAGTCACGCTTTCCTGAACTCCCTTTTCCCCCAGCTCCTGTTAGCTCCCCGCTTCCAGGCCAGTGCAGAGACTATGAAGGTATTGGACTGACATATGCCCATTTCTCCTCTTGCCCATCCATGCACTTGCCCATCAGACTATATTCCAGTGCTGCCTCCGTCTGATGCAAGCTGCATCTCATGAATGTAACCCTTGTCGTTTAGATCTTATCTACAGCTCTGTGTGTTGGGAGAACTAGTGGGGTTCCCTGGGCTCAGTTCTTTGAACTCACGAGACACTAGGAAGCTTGGGCTGTTCTCTCTGCCCTGTAGGCCTTGGTGATAATACTGCCCTATGAGCATGTGCCCTGGGAAGTCATGCTTCCAGCCATGGGCAGTGGCTCAGTGAGTGTGTTCAGATCCCTAGCTAGCTCTGTCCCTGCTGTGGATGGAGTCCCCACACCCATTGCTCTGCATCAGGCACTGTTCACTGGCACTAATTTCATGCCCAGAGGAGTGTGGGAGAATTCCTCACGTTTCTCCCCCCCCGCTTCCTTTCTGTGGCTGCATCCTTTCAGTTAGGGGAGATGGAAGCTGGTTTATGGAGCCTGCAGTGAAGAGTTGGGGTGGCTGAGGCCATTGGCCTGCGGAGAACGTGTCGCTGAGGGGTGGCTGCTTGGCTAACCTGCTTTGTTGGTTGTTTTAAGGCCTTTTCCGGATTTTATTCAGTCTTCCACTTTCTGAACCTGACCAGCAGGCATCCCTTGAGTGACGTCAGTGCCACCATCGAGCACTTCTGTGCTAAGGACTGGAAGGAGGTGAGACCCCGGTTAGCAGCTGCCAGTGCTGTCGTGTAATGCCTGAATCTAGATGCATGGGGAAACTGGAGAACACAAGGGTACCATTAACAGGCTGGGATTCTCCTTCCCTTGGGATCTTCTTGGGCGGGGGGCGGGGAGCCTTGGCTTGGGCAGAAAGATGGGGGACAAATCGTTAGCTTCTGGGTTCTAAATTCTTCTGGGACTTCTCCCCCCTGAATTTTCTGAAGGTTAACTGGCTCGTTGCCCATCAGTGGTCTGCAGACCATTTCCCAATGGTGTGTGGAGAAACCCTCTGGCCTGCTGCTCCTTCTCACACAAAACCTGGGCGACAGATTCTTCACCCTGCCCTCTCAGGATGGACACTCGGCTGGGCCCAAAGTCCTGAGGGTCCCAGTTATCCCAGTGGCAGAGCAGAGGGTCATTGTAGTGAGTGCAGGGTAGGGGAGTGGGGGCTGCATGCCTAGGGTTCAGTGACAGGGTATAGAGCCCTCACTGCTCTCTTGAGGTCCCCAGCTTGGATCTGGCCCAGGTTGGTAGCAACTGGAATCTAAAGCACAGTGGGGGCCTCTGCCACATGCCTGGCTTGGAGCTGAAATAGCAGGTCTGTGGGTAGGGCGAGGGGGCCTCTCTGACCTGTGACTCGCTAGAGTAAAGTTACCAGTGGGCTAACTGGGCATCTCTACATGGGAACAGCAGGTTTGCACTGACCCACCCTCCCCCCCATGTCCCTAGGTGCAGATGGTGGATCCTGGCATGAACAAGACCCGCCTGCAGGATTACTGCGCTGCCAGCACCTACATTCTCACCCTCCTGCTGCAAGGCTACAAGTTTGACAACGAAACATGGAGCAACATCCATTTCCACTGGCAGGTAGGACGTCTCCCTGGCAGGGTCTGCTGCACAGCCTGGGTCACGCCCCCCGGAGCGGGTCTGTCCCCAGCCTGCCTTACCACTGTGGGCTCCCGAGGGAAATCTGCTCCATCAGTGCCAAGATGAGGGGAGTTGGCGATAAAGGGCCTGTGCAGTCTTTACCCTGCTCCCCCCCGGCCCAGCATGGGCACTGGAATAGCTCTCCACTTCTTCCCTCCCGCTGGAGTTCTTGGCATTGGAATCGTGGCTGCCCAGCTACGTTGCACAATCCAAATGATACAATTGTGCCAGTCTGGAAAAAAGTTGGTGTGTGTTTTCTCCCCCCCTTCCCCCCCGTCTGGATTATAAACCCTGCAGATGGTAGGTGCTCTGCATGTCAGTAACCCAGCCCAGATAGAGTGCAGAAAAAGGGCCTTAAATATGTCCTCCTTCAGGGAGGCAACAGCTGTCATGGTAAGTGGAGTCACTGTGAGTTGGGCCCTAATGAGGGTCGGAGTAGCTGATTCCCATGCAGCTGGATGGTGAATTAAGCTAGACACGCTCAGACTAACCCAGGCCCCTGTATCCTCTGTAGCTCTGTCGGCCTAAATATTGCAGCAGCGTCCCTGCATTCTATGCAGATCAGAGACTAGGATAATAAATAAATAATTAATGGAGATATCCCATCTCCTAGAACTGGAAGGGACCTTGAAAGGTCATGGAGTCCAGCCCCCTGCCTTCAGTAGCAGGACCAAGTACTGATTTTGCCCCAGATCCCCAAATGGCCCCCTCAAGGATTGAACTCACAATCCTGGGTTTAGCAGGCCAATGCTCAAACCACTGAGCTATCCCTTCCCCCAATGTGATTTGTGTGCTGGAGGACGGGACAGATTATCCTATCACTGCCAACTGCCACGTTCTTGTCCCTTCCCCTGATACATCTGATGCTGGCCACTGCCAGAGACAGGGTACTGGACCATATGGATGTTGGCTCTGAGCCAGTCTGGCAACTCCTGTGTTCTGTTCTGAGGCAGCTCAGTGGAGACTGTATGAATGAAATCTGAAAATCAATAAACCAGTCCCATCACCCTGGGTTTGCTGAGATTCCATTCAATTTTTTTGATGCTGTCTCCAGCCCCCTGATTTTGCACTCATAGCAGCACTGCATTTGAAGCTGTCAGGCGGGGTGGGAGGTTTTGGCACATGGCCAGGGGACAGCTGAGGGTGTTGGTACCTGGAAAGGCATGGCAGGGTTTGGTGGTGTGGGAGAAACACATTAGCTGGATGCTTCTTGAAATGCTCCCTGATCAAACTGCTGATGTTTAACTTGCCACCTTTAAGTTTCAGAATTAACAATTCCTTGAGATGAATGAGGCAGGTCATGGCTCTCTGCTTTCATCTTGAGCTGTCTGCAGGCTCACAGCCAGCACCAGTTACATCCCTCTCATTTTTCTCCCAACTGTGGGGGCTACAATGCCCTTTAGTTAAAGTTGCAAATTTAAATTCTAGAGCACAATTTCACAGCAATGGAGGATGGGGGGCAGGTTCTGGGGTGGGCTCCAGGGCCGGGCGAGGGCTCCAGAGCAGGTTCTGTGGCTGTTGAACAGCAGAATGACTACATAAGAACAAGCACACTCAGTATTGCTGTAAATCACTGAAGAAGGGGGGAGGGCTAGCTCAGTAGTTTGAGCTATTGGTCTGCTACACCCAGAGTTGTGAGTTCAATCCTTGAGGGGGCCATTTAGGGATCTGGGGCAAAAATCTGTCTGGGGATTGATCCTGCTTTGAGCAGGGGGTTGGACTAGATGACCTTCTGAGGTCCCTTCCAACCCTGATATTCTATGATTCTAAGGCTCTGATTCGCCTCCTTCCCTGCCCAGCACTGAGTGCCCGCCCTTTGAGTTCATAAAACTTCTCTGCTCTCTCCTCTCAGGTGGCTGCTGTGGATGTGGGCTGGAGCCTGGGCTACATGCTGAACCTCACCAACACAATCCCCTTGGAGGCTCCCAACCGAGTGAAGGGGCAGCGGCCTGACCTGTGGGCAGCGGCTGTGGTCACCACCTGCCTCATGCTGGCCATGATCCTGTGGACAGGCCTGGCTCTGTGCTATCAGTGGCCCCATGCCACCTATGAGACTATGCTGTAGCTGGCCAGTGCTCCTCAGGCTGGGGCCCTGCTGCCATCAGGAGTCACACGAGGCTTTCCCCAGACATCATGCAGTCCTGTGTGTTAGACGTTTGTGGCCTTACAACCCAGTGCCCCTACTTGCAGCTGGAGGCAGGGTCTGGGAGAGAAACCCCTCCCCAGGGAGGGTAGGAACATTGGGTTTGAAGGACAAATGGCATCTATTGGCAAATTGGTGACACTTTTCAGTCTAATCTCAGCCCTGTGAGCTGTGCTGGCTTCCTGCTCTCCCCCAGCCCCCTTTCCAGTCAGCAAGTCCTGCTGTGCAAACAGAGTCTATCCTGAGGAGGTGCTGCCGCCTCCTGCAGAGCCCAGTTGTGGTGGTGTGTGTGTGTGTGTGTGTGTGTGTGTGTGTGTGTGCGCGCGCCATGGCCTACTGGATTTGGGGTGCAGGGGAAGTTGGGGCTGGTGAGGCAGGAAGCATTGGCTAGAGTGCCAGGAGACTCCAGGGCAAGGCGGAGGGAATGGGAGTATGAGTCTCCTCCTGGTCCAGGGAGCACCGGCTGATATATTTGGAAGTGCCTGGATGCAGGGGCAGCTGCAGCAGCTCTGCAGGGGCAGGGACTTGCCCTTTCGTGGTCACTGACAAAGGGCTGGTTGTGGCACACGGGGTGTTGGCTACAGCCTGGGTGTTTGGGCCAGGCTCCAGACACTGCCCTGGCTCAGGGTTACAAAAGGTTAATATGGCAGTGGTCAGACTCTTTTTACCCTCGCTTATACATGTGTAAGGGAGAGAGGAGAGGCAGGCACAGGTGCCACATGGGAAAGCCACCCTGGCATATGAGGCTGCAAGTTGTGGGTTGCTGTGGGCGTTGCACAAAGAACTCAATTTCCCATCAAACCCAGACTGGGTGCCTCTTCCCAAGCTGATCATTGTGCCACCTTGTGATTGGCTTTCAGCCTACCTGTGACAGGCCCTGCTAAAGTGAGTGCCCAGCCCAGCTCCCTCTCAGGATAAGTGAGTGCCCAAGCAGCAGGACATGAGTTAATTACCACCTGGATCTTCTAAAGGGTTATGGGGGCTCAGGCAGGTAACAACGCCCAGAAGAGGCCCCTGGAGAAAGAACTCCTCAGGGCAGCAGGCTAGGAATCTACCCCTGGTGGCCTGTCCTAGGGAACAGGGGTGCTGGGGAGAGGAACTGTCCCCAGAAAAGGGGAGGGCTTCTGGGGAGGAGTGGGGACTGGTGAGGAAGCACAGCGGGAAAGGAAGCCAAGAATAGGGTTGGCAGTTTAGATGGACATGTTCCTGGAGGTTTCATCACAGACATAATCTTTAATTACCAATGAATCATGATTTTCTGGACACTCAACAATCCTGGAGGGTTGGCAGCCTGAACCAAGGAAGAGTATTCCTGGTGTGAAAGGCTCCAAAAGCAAAGGGGTATGAATGCCAAGTCTCATTGAAGCCTTGTCTCCATAGAAGGACTTCACCAGGTAGCAGTAGGCTCCCCAGCTGAGAGGAATTAGATGCTGCTCTGAGGAAACCAGGGGCATTGTGGTTTAACTGCTATGTGGCCCTTGACCCAAGAGGACCGAGACCCTTCCTGAGCTGATGACAAGTGGCCCTGACTCCAGAAGAGGGCTCTGAATCATGAGGGACTCACTAGTCAGGGACCTGGACATAAGTGGAATTGTTGGACTAAAATTAATGCAGCCTCTTCCTGCACCTTAGGATACTGGGTGGAGGCCTATTTGGGTAATGGTTTGCCTTTGGGTTAGATTAAACTAGACCCCTGAAGGGACACTGCTCACTATACATCAATCTCTTTAGCCTTATTGAAAGTCCATTAGGGGAAACTGAGGCAGAGATGTAATTATGGCTCTGCAGAGGGTGGGGGGGCCCCAAGTTTGAGGGCCCCCAGTACATACTTCCAAATAACTCACTAAACATGCTTGTAAATAAAATGAAAATCCTGTGCTCGCCCGTTCTTTCTGGGTACCCCCAACACGCTCACAAGCACAAACGCTGAGGGGCTGCAGCGTGTGGCTACTGCCCGACAGGCAGCCGGAGATGCAGCATTCCAAAGCCCTGGCAATTCCAGGCGTTTGCATGTGGAGTTGAACCTCTGAACAATGCAGTGGAGGTGGATGTAGCTTGTAAACAACTGTGCCAACTGGAGGAGTAGTTCTGCATCAGTGACTGCCTTGTAGTTAAATGTAACGGCCCAAGATTATTTGGGGGAGCTGGAGCAGTTTGGGTTCAGGGGTCAGTGTAAGAATAGTGCAGGTCTGTGATGAGGCCCACTAAGGTGTGTATGTCCTGGCTGATGAATGCACAATGTGTTATGGTTTCAGGCTGCTACCTGTGCAGTCATTAAACCCTATGGGCTATAGGATGCAGGAACCTGAGGCTTTGCTTATTTCTGCAGCAGCATCTCTTCTCCTGCTGCTTGGGGGCCATTAAAGAGACAGTGACACATGCTCCTGTCATGCTGGACTTCACCTTGGAAAGGAAGTTTTATTCTACTCTGAGGATAAAATCAGACTCGCAAGCAGGGCCTGGATCCCCTTTCATACAGTCTGCATCAGCTCTTCTGCGGGGTGGGGGTGAGGGGCTGATACTGGGACTGTTCCCCAGCCTGGCTGCTCTCCCTTGCACCCCAGCTTTTAGATTGATAGTAGGAAGAGCTGCCTCCCCCTTGAAAGTCCCATAGAGAGGTCAAAAGAATCCAGTAGGATGGCCAAAGCTGGGGGCATAGTTCAGCTCACATCTAACCCATCACCCATGCTGACAACCCTACTGTACCTTGTGATGAGGTTCCCACTGAGCTCCCAAGTCGTCTTAGAGCCCCTGAGAGCTCTGCAATAATATTAAAACCCACGGCTGGGTTTTCTGCTTCCTGTAGCAACATTCTGTAGACTTGGCAGGGTCTTTCCCAACACCGCTTCTGTTCTGTTTTGGGGTTCCACCCAGACCAGTGACGGGTTGTGTCACTGCCTGTCTGGCATAACTCTGGGTGCCTTAAATGCTCTGTTCATGCAGCTCACTGCCTGGACACCAACAGCCAGCAGACAAGCGTGCAGGGCACGGCACGGACACCAAGAGCCAGCACACAAGCATGCAGGGCACAGCCTGGTTTCTACCCTTCGTTAGTGTTTCAAAGTGACCCCAACACTCCCAGTCCTAAATTTCCCAGAACTGTTTCCCTGGTGTGCCTAGCCCTCTCCTGGGACACTCACTGAAATGATTACACTTGCTGCTACTGTCAAGAGAGGAACCGCAGCTTGGTCTCTTGCCTGGTGTTACAGTCCCTCCAGTTCAATCAAAGCACCGGACTGGTTTAGGTAAAAAGTAAAACAGTTTATTCAGTTACAAAGCCAGGTTTGAAGTAAGTTCAACTACAAAGGGCAAAGATAAAAGGGCTACAAGAAGCTAAAATTTGGCTTAACAAGCCACAGTCTTTGTTCAAGGTAATTTCCTCACCAAGCTTCCTTTTCCAGGGATGGCTGGCTGGCTCTGAGCCGGGATCCCCCAGCGTCCCAGGCGCTGGTTTGCTTTGTCGCCTCAGGTGAAGGATAATGGAGGGTTCTCTGCCCCTCTCTTATAGGGCAGTAAACCTTTGAAAAGTCTCTCACAGTCACTGACCCTCCCTGTGGGTACAGGCTCCATCTTCTGCTGAGCTTCTTACATGCTCACCTTTTCCCCACTTGCTCTCTGGACGGCTTTGTTTGCCTGCCACGCAGATGTGCTTTTCTTTGTCTTTGGTCACACCTTGCTCCAGTTACATGGAGACCCAGTCAAGCTGGCGGAACCACATTCCTTTTTCTGAGGGGGGGCGGGCCGGGACCGGTTTATTAACTCTCCTTGATATGCCTGGTTTAAATACATTTGAGTCATGAATTCAGCACTGCTGTATAAGCTTTTGCAAGTTGATCGTACAGCCATCAGAATATTACTGATATGGTGAGTAATTAGTTGTCCAAGGGCATATTTCATGCCACCTTTTGGGTAAATATCATGACACCAGCGTGTTAGGTGTAGTGCACATGTCAGGCCTGTTGAGTAGCTGACACAGAGAAGTGAACCACCAACGGGCCGCTGGGTGACAGCCTCCCATCAGGAATTCAGTGTTCTTTGTCCAGGGCCATGCACCTCCTCTTCCTTTGAATGTGGTGGCCTGGTATAGCTGGCTTTTCTCAAGGGCTCATACTGAGTGCACTGGGTCTTAGCAGCTCATCATGTTTGGCTCCCAGTAATTGAACAAAGACTGAACTTGCTGTTCTGTGCTATGTGGAGAGCACACGGGAGTGCTGTGCTGTGCTATGTGGAGAGCACACGGGAGTGCTGTGCTATGTGGAGAGCACACGCAGTGTCGTGACCCATGGGAGTGCAGCAATTTCAAAGGAATCTTGTAAGCAAACAATTGTCCACACAACCAACAATATACAATGGTAACAGCAGCTTGTATGTGGAGTGTAGTCAAACCAGAAGGAGCTGGCCCTAACCTCCTCAATGTATCAATGACAGGGCAGCTTTCCTGGGCATTGAAATTATTTCAGAATCAATCTCTTGGGCCATGTAACACAGAATATTATTAAACCTACAGCCACCCACCCATCCAAACCAACTTCATAGACATATTCTTCACACGTGACCATCCTTAGGATGGGTGACAGAATTCCCTGAAGTTCAGACAGAGCCATGACACGTGACTGGCAGCCCTGGACTGCCAAAGGGGCTAAACGGAGGTGCCTGCAATGCCGTTTAAAAGAGTGAGTCAGCAAAGCCAACACCACTCCTGAGTTCTCATCGGGGTCACCAACAGTGCAGCAGATGATTCCACGGCTGCCTCAGCATCCTCACCCTGGCAGGCCCAGAGAGGATGGGGCAGGTTGGATCTCCCTGCTGTGGACTCCTGGGTTTGGAGAGCTGCAGGGGATTTTGCTAGAAGTAGCTCTGAGACGGCCACAGTTTAGAGGCCACCACTCTCTGAGCAGCAGTAAGAAGTCTTCCCAGGTGGCCCTTCAGCACATGACAGCACAGTGAGCCCGCCCTGTGGGGATCCTTGTATTGAGATCTGTGCACAGCAATTACTTTTCTTCAGCTCATTCTTGTTCTTAGCTAGACTGTTGGTCCAAGAGCCATGCAGACACGGACACACCCACGACCCTGTCAGCCAGTCTGGGATGGGATGGTGATTCCATTGATGGCTTCCTTTTGATCCATTTAACAATGATGACACATTGCAGATGTGCAGGGTGCTCTGGAGCCATGCAACATATGCACCTTGGCAAGACGAGCTTCCACTGCTGATTACCCTGGGAAGGTTTGTAGTCTTTCTCATCTCTGTGAAAGCAGCAGTTCATGACACCCAGCTATTTGCCTGCAGTCCAGACTTCAGACTGAGCCGAAGCCAGGAGGTGCCATGTCGGAGCTTTTAGATACATTGATTGGTTCATGTTTTTATGCCTCAGAATTACAGGCATTTACTTTCACAGACCATGTCACAGTTTCTCTTCTCTGCTCCTTGTAAAAATTAATTTGCTAATGAAATAAAGTAAGAATAAATGCAAAGTCTCTGCACTTTCTCCAGAGAAAGTAAAACCCAAGGCCTAGCACTAGCAACAGAAATATTGATTAGGAAACAAATCACAGAACTTGACAGAAAATGAAGGCAGGGAATGGAAGACAGTGATGGAGATGGTGTTGCAGGCAGAGAAGAAATAGGATGAAATGTACTCCAGTGCATGGGCCACGGAAAAACTTGTATCCCACTTGAGGCCTGGCTGGATTTCTTTGGTGCAGAGACCTTTTTCCCATTGGAACTGTCAAAGAGGCCAACCTTCAAACATCCACTCAAGAGCAAAATTCCCATGGCTCTCGTTACTGACTCATTTAAAGATTTTTGGAGGACAGTCCTCCCACCTGCCTGGGGGAGCGAGCAGAGGGAGGGAAACTACTGGAGATTAACTGGATTTGGGTGGTACACAAGGGTGGAACCAGGTGCTACTTGATCCTAGGCCAAGGAACCACTGAAGGTGGAACCACTGAAGGCCCCATTATCCCAGGAAAACCCCCTGGGGACTGAGATAGGAATAGACTCCCTGTGGGAAGACTCCGACTGTTAGGCTGATATAGCTGCTAATCCTCACTAACACTTTAATTAAAAGGCGAACTGAGTGTTAATGTGCCATTGATTAAATTCATAAGGTAAATTGTAATGGAAAAGTCTCATTAAAGTTATATCAAATGCAGGATCGAGCAGCTGTCAGCTCTAAATTTACCCGAGACCAGAGCAGGGCTTGGATCTCATTTAACTGCCGCAGACTCAGGTGATGCCTTCCTAACTGCTGGGGTGGGTTTGCACTACCTGTCGGTCCTGGCAAAGCCTGGCATGGCAATGTATAGCCCTTAGCATGAATTACTGGACCATGTACCAGTGCACCCACAGTGCAAGGGAGGGCTAGCAGCATGAGTCCCTCAGCAGCCCAGAGTCCCTACGTGTGGGAGCAGAGAGAGAGAGAGATGGTTTCGCAGGCCTGCCCATCCCAAGAATGTTTGTTAAAACCAGTAGCTAGAGCCATTCAAGACAATGTATGTATGTAACCTGCGGTGGGAGAGCATGGGACTCATATTAGAGCTCAGTGAATAACTGACTTTTTTCAGATCTCTGCAAGTTCCAAAAATTTGAAAAAACCCACAAAAATATGGTTCTGCTCAAGCTGAATCCAAAAATTCCAGTGGATCAAAAATTTCCATTGTTTGGATTGACCCCAAATGCTTTGTTTTCAGGCATTGTAAAAGGGCTAGATTCACACAATGGCCAGCGGAGGAGGACTCCTTACAACTTTTATCCCAGAAGTTAGGAGAATGGGTCTGATGCCCCCACTCCACTTGAGGTGGGCTAGAGATTTGAACTCAGGTCTCCCCCCTTTACAGAAAAGGGCCCTAGCCACCGACGCAGGGCTCTCTAGGTAGCGGCTGCTGAACCTTTCCCACTGTGTATAAATATTTATTGGAGCAGGGACTTGAGTCTCATCTATTGCTAGGTGAGTGCCCTAACCACTGGGCTATGGAGTCAGTCTGTGCTGGTCTCTCTCTCTCACCCATTGACTATTCAAGCATAGGCAGCTGGTGACCCGGTTGGTGGGGGAGGCTAGACCCCGAACCCTCCCCTTGTGCCCAAGGCCCCACCCCTCCCCTTCTGCCCCTCTCCCCTGCAGGATCCCAGAGCACCCCCGCCAGCCCCAGAGCACCGGGCAGGACGGTCCTAGCACCAGCTGCCTTGAGTCCCTGCAGGAGGCAAGCCAGCCAGCTCCAGCCAGGGCAAAGTGCTGGGAACCTCAGGAGGGGGCCTGGCTTGGGGGTGGAGCGTGGGCGGGGCAACGCTAGGCTGTTTGGGG